TATTAACAAAATGATGGAAAATTGGAGATGTAGTTGACTAGAATCATTTCATTTGTTCATTTGCTCATTGTTTCATTGGTTCCTTATAACAATCTTATAAGACATGTACCGGAGAGAGGCTATTTCAATCCACTTGCACATAGCCAACTGTTGGGGCTCAGGGCAGGCCATGCCAAAATACGCTTCAATGGCATATTAATTATTTTGAATTGGTTACTTAAGAAAGAGCCATTGTAAGAGGGACACTCTGACCCTCCTCTCTGTCTCCTTGAAAGTAGGAAATAAATCTCTCATGAAAGGTGCACTCCTTGCATCTGAAGGTAGAAGGACACCCTGATTTCCAGAGATAGGGAATTTGGGGTGAGAAACTTATATAAACAAAACTTGTTACTCCTTTAGTTTATCATCCCAAACTCAAACTCTGCTTAGATTCTTCACTAATTAAGCACCCAAAGCCTAATTTTCTTTGTCCTGTGAATTCCTCACAAATTTATTGTTTGTTTGTCTAAAAAGTATAAAAGCTGCCTGCTTTGGCCACTTCCTAGGTCACATGACTGTGGGACCTCCATGTGCATAAGTTAAAGTTTGTTTCTTTTTCTCCTGTTAATCTGTCTTGTGTAGTAGTCCAGCCACAGAACTCAAGAGAGATAGAAGGGAAATTTTCCCTTCCCCAACACAACCTATCAAAATGACTAATGATTTCCACGTCTTCTTAAAGCATGCAGGTTGATGCCCAGGGCTTGCTGAAAGAATATCAGAATGTAATTAATAAACTACTCCTGCACCTACCAGTAGAGTTTCATGATAATCAAGAGACAAGTGTGTGTATTTCTCAACCTGTTTTTGCCAGTTCTTTCACAGTAAATTATGTAATTTAATTAAAACAGTACAAACAGTTGTTATGTCTATGAAGACTAAGTTGAATGTTCTCAAAAGACTCGAGAAGTAAAAAGAATTAGTAATGACTTAGATAAGGACAAGACAACCATGAACAATGGGAGACACTTTAAAAATATAGATGGGGGGCTTCCTTGGTGGTGCAGTGGTTAAGAATCCGCCTGCCAATGCAGGGGACATGGGTTCAAGCCCTGGTCCGGGAAGATCCCACATGCCGCGAAGCAACTACACCCGTGAGCCACAACTACTGAAGCCCACGTGCCTAGAGCCCTTGCTCCGCAACAAGAGAAGCCACTGCAATGAGAAGTCTGCACACTGCAATAAAGAGTAGCCCCTGCGCGCTGCAATTAGAGAAAGCCTGCGCTCAGCAGTGAAGACCCAATGCAGTCAAAAATAAATAAAAATTAAAAAAATATATATATATATATATATGAATTTTCACTTAGTTTTATCTCAAACTGAAAATTATAGGCAGTGATTCATAGGTATTATTAATGCCAGAAGGTAACACAAAATTCCTAACAGTAGGTTCCATAGAGACTTGGATCTTGTAGGGAAGCACAATTTGCCACCCCAAAATGTCTCTTTGGCATGAGGATTATTTTAGGCTGATTATTTTTAAGAAACAGGAGACTCCGTAAGTCTGTGTTTTTACCTCCCCATTAGCTGCCTAAAGAATTGATAAAGGACCTATTCCTAGAATAGAGGTATCTCCAGAAATATCTGCAAAGAAAATGGACTAGTTGTGTTGGAGGAAACTCAGCAGCGCCTAGACATCAAAGTCCACTCTGTGTCCCATTGCCCCTGCATGGCCCAGCAAACATCTGCTTTTGCATCTCCAGGTGAATTGCTTTCCTCCCCTTTGAAGTCCCAAACCACTACGCCCAACATCTTCTTTTGTCTTTAGCTGAAGATCGTATTTAAGGTGAAAGCTTCAGGCATTTTGGCGAGTTACTCAGTTTTCCTGGGTCTCTCCCAAGTACACATGTTATTAAACTTTTGTTTGTTTTTCTCCTGTGAATCTATCTCAGGTCACCAGCCAGAAGAACCTGGAAGGGAAGAGGAAACTTTCCTCCCCAACAACCTACATCAAAAGATTGATGAATTAATATATAAATACTTTATGTCATAATACAATGTTTAAGGTAAAATGCATTGTTTTATGATTTCCTACTTTATCCAACTTTTTCTAGTAACCAACAAACTATATGTCCCAGTATAATGTAGGTAAAGTAAAATAGAGTCTCCTGATCTGTAAAATGAAGAAGGTAATTCTTACTCATAAGGCTGTTTTAAGGACTAAATAAAATCATCCATATAAAAGAATACCTGTCACCTAGTAAGCACACATTACTCACTAGCTAACACAGCATGCTCGTGAGGGTGGTAACATAACGGTAATGGCATGAGGGACCAGTCTGCCTGGATTCACATCCCAGCTCAATTACCAGCTCTGTGATCTTAGAGGAAGTTACCTAACCTCTCTGTACCTTAAATCCATCATCAGTAAAATGTACATAATAATAGCTCCACCACCATTGGGTTATTGTGAGGATCCAACGAATCAACTAATGTGAAGTGCCTAAGACATAATACATGCTTAACGTAACACATTTTAGTCACTGTTATTTTGTATATTATTGGCTTTTCTTTTCAGCTAGATAGAAAATTGCCCTCTCTCAAAGCATCCAAATATTTGTTATCATTCCTTTGGCTCTAGGCTTCTCACCTTCTAAAATGAACACAGGACTCAATTTATTTTAGTACAGACAGATCACTAGTGCCATCTAGTGGCAAACTGCTAATAAATTTAACAAAAAGGAATATTGCCCATAAAGGGGTAAAATTTCTACAGACATGAATTTAATTTTTGAAGACAAACTAGATATTTGGAAATGTGATATGTTTTCTATAATGATTTGAATGTAATACAAATATAAGTGGGGGAAATTTTAAAACTGCACACCATAAGAAGAGTGCTTGGCAAACAGTACCAAAAAAAAAAAAAAAAGATTCTTGCTTTGCATGAGCCAAACAACTGGGTTTAAACCCAATGTCAAAATTTTTGGACAGGGCTTCCCTGGTGGCGCAGTGGTTGAGAGTCTGCCTGCCGATGCAGGGGACACGGGTTCGTGCCCCGGTCTGCGAGGATCCCACATGCCGCGGAGTGGCCGGCCCCATGAGCCATGGCCGCTGAGCCTGCACTTCCGGAGCCTGTGCTCCGCAACGAGAGAGGCCACAACAGTGAGAGGCCCGCATACGGCAAGAAAACAAACAAACAAACAAAAACAGATTTGTGACGTTAATATACCCCTGATATTTTCTAGACCTTAATTTCCTATGATATCAAATGAGTATGCTATATGTGTTGAATTCGTTTTGTAGTTATAAAAGTAAGGGATAAATCACTATGCTAATTTTAACATGATGAATCTATAGTATTATCTGTCAGAAGCATTTTGAGGGGAACCTTGATAACTTCTAACATCCTTTCCAATATTCTGATTTTTTTAAATGCAGCCATATTGGAGGAAAAGAATTAGAAATGTGAATTTGGGGTGTAATTTAAACAGCATAAATGTTATAACATATACTAAGATATTAAGTTATATCATTGGATAAATTAAAAATTAATACCATACAAAGATCCCAGGTGATAGCATCATACAGCTTTACTTTCTGCAAGTCAGAACTTACAGAAGAACTCAAAACTGCACAAAACTACTGTAATCTATAATATTCAGGCAGTCCTTGCCTTGCTCATTGAAATATGTACAAATTTCAGAGCCACAATTTAGTCAAATAACAGCAGCCTTCCAACAACACAGTTTAAATTTCAGTTATCATGGCATATTAACTGTGACTAATTATATAAGAGCTGCTAGCTCTTTGGCCCAAAAATCACTAAGTAAATAACAGATGAGCATCATGATCAGTGACTAACACATCACTTCTTTCAAAGTCTGTCAGTGCTTGGTCACTGCACATCTGTTATTCAGTTCAAATGCAGACAGCAAATCATGTTGCTTCCTTGTGTTCCAGTGATAAACTCACTTGACACTTCACAAAAGTGAGTAACCAAAAGAGGCTATTAGCCCATAAAGATGAAAGTGCAACAAAGAAATAAAACGTGATGATGCTGGAAATGAAATTGGATGTGAATAGAAGATCTGAAGATGGTGACAGCAAAGCAAGGATAGAAGAGACCTAGGCCAGCAAGAAGGTGAGAGCCATGAATGTAAAAAACAAGATAAAGTCACTTCAACAGGATTCTAAATGAATGTAAATGGGTTGTACGAGAAATTGGGGATGACCCTGGAACGTTGACACCGTGCCCTTTGGAGCAATGTAGCTATGCAGCCATAAGAACTTAGTGAAGGCAAACTGATCAAAATAAATGAGGAACATGATTGTGACAAAAAGGATGACAACACCCGAGGAAGTGACACCAGAACAAAACTTCACATTAAAGAAACTCTCAGAGATATCTCATGACTTTGAAAGGACAAAGGACAAAATGGAAGTTGATCCAAACTTAAAAAGAATTTGACAGTTCAATTCAACAACGCATAGAAAAGATGCCTGCTCCATATAATAAGTCGTATGATGAGAAAAAGGCAAGTAACTGTTCAAACTCCTATTGACAAGATTTTGGCAATGAAGTAATACTTTAATTCTCAATGTTTCTAATGTTTTAAATTACAGTGTACTGAATAAATATTAATTTTACTATTTTTCATTTCCTTATATATTTATAAACCACAGTAAGAGAGTTTTTAGTGTTTTGAGAAAACATTTTAAAGGTCACAGAACAATTGTTATTCTCTTATTGATTTGCTTTGTCCAGTTTCAACTTAGTCATTTTCATGGTTTTGCACTATTGTGCAAAACAAGAACTGGATGTATTGCCAAAGCCTAAATTTTTCTTTCACAGTTTTCAGTCATTGTAAACGTCATTCAGAAATTGCCACATACTGCATGCTAATATAATAGCTAGTCCCCTTCTGAACATATTTTATAAATTATTTGCAGTGTCATGATATAATGTTGAAAAGATGTCCTTGCTCCTAACCAAACCAGGCATATAGAAGAGCATTATGTACCTGGCAGTGGCAACTGAACTAATATACCACTGACTCTTGGGTCCATGTTCAATTGATTGGTTATATCCAAAAGTTCTTCCTGAGAAACATCCTTAGGTTTTATAATGATCTCACTACAGATACCTGGAAGAAAAACAAGTACAGAAAGTCACTTTAACAAAGATGTGTTTTTTCATTGATGGTGTCTTACACAATGTGTGATTGGTTCCCTCTGCTCCTATCCCATTGGAAGAAAAGGCCCTTCTACAAAAATGATGTTCTAAGCACCTCAGGAGGGAATTTTCAAATAGTACAAATGCTTTCTCGTGATTCACATGCATTCTTTGGCCCAGTAACCCATTTAGCAAATCAGGCTCATCTGTGATAAGCTACTGTTAGTGGATTTGAAGAGAGTAAGAATACCAATACCACCACCACCACTATTAGGCCAAGTTCGGCAGAGTGAACTAGCCAGGTTTATCATGTGATTAAAGCAAAAAAACAGGCCCTTTAAATGTAACATGTTGCTCTCACATCTCACCATAAGATCTGAAATCACACTGAATTGATTCAATAAGAAATTTGAAGAAAAAGAGTAAGAAATGAATATAAACTTCGGTAACTAAATAATCTATAACAAATAATAATAATAATACATGTCATTCAAATAGCACTTAGTTGACAATTATCATTCATAATTATCACACTTTGAAGTAAAACCAGAAAACGTTATCTAGTAACAAGTACAACTAAAACATGTCCCCACCTACGGCAGCAGCAGCTTTGATCTTCTTCCTGACGTATGTGTGGCTTGCTGGGTTATCACCCACTAAAATGATACTGAGGTGAGGTCTTCCATTCCCAAGAGAAATCCAAGATTCCACACCTCGCTGTATTTCTTTCTGGATTTGTTTGGCCATTTCAGTTCCCGAGATAATAATTGCGTCATGTCTGTGGAAAACAAAGGAATAATGGTAGTACTAAAAAGGCAATAAGGAATATTCAACCACATAAATTTAAAGTACAAGAGTGAACAAAACATTTATGATTCCTCAAGTGAGCCACCAAAATTTGATTTCTTTCAGGTATATTTGACACTCATTCTTCAGGTTCAAAAATATATTTATAATTTTTTTAAAGGAGTCCAACTCTGCTTTTTAGTTCTGCATTACAATCTATCTATAGTATACATAACTTTTACATATATATATTTCAATTATCAAACCACATACTAAAGTTCTAGAATATTGGCTCTATAATATTGGCTGTATTAAAAGCTCTGCTATTTTTTTCAGAAGAGACGGATCAGCACAGTCTAGTTAAAACTAGCACCCATCTTCAAAGCTCCAGGCCATGGTGTATATACATGGCCCCATAGCCTTTTGACCCAAAGGCAAAGTCAGTTCACTCTTAATAGAATATCCTGTACAAGACCCTGAAGTCATGAGCTCCATACTACACAACTCTTCTCACTTACTAAAGGAAAAATTTTATCCCACAGCTCCAGGACAAGGACAACTGTGATGACAGCTGCCAGTCTTGCCATGCTTGTCATTGATTACTGTGGGGACCAGGCCAGTTAGTAAGGCTCAGTTGCCCCCCTACCCAAACACCCACACCATGGCATCATTTCTAATAGAAAAACTGCACAAAACATTACTTCCTGGCAGTTTTTAAGTGCTTAAGTAGGTAAGAAGTACTATACTTTGATAGATGACATAAATCTATCTCTGGAAAGGCATAAAAAATGCCTTATGGGAAGGTTTTCCTGCTCTCCATGATCTCAAACTTAGAAGTGGTGAATTAATGTTGCTCCTACTGCATGTTTAGTTTTGTTTTGTTTTTTTAACGGTACGCGGGCCTCTCACTATTGCGGCCTCTCCCGTTGCAGAGCACAGGCACCGGACGCGCAGGCCCAGCGGCCATGGCTCACGGGCCCAGCCGCTCCACGGCACATGGGATCCTCCCGGACCGGGGCACGAACCCGCGCTCCCCTGCATTGGCAGGCGGACTCTCAACCACTGCGCCACCAGGGAAGCCTGCATGTTTAGTTTTTAAAGGTACCTGATAAAGTAAAAGATGGTTCCTTCTCCCTGGGGCCCCTGTCCTTTCACTATTGAAAGGCCTGGTGAAAGCATGATCTATAGCACATGAATATTACACAAAATATCAAAAGCAGGTCAATGAATATTGTGAAGGAGAAGAAAAGGAGGAAAGAAAAACCTTATAGCAATTTAATTTTTTCAAGCACCTGTACATTTTCTATGTTCTAGTGAGAGCAGCCATCATGAATATCAGCCAGCACAAACAAAATGCAAACTTGCTGCCCCTTCCAAATAAGTCAACCCCCCTCTCTAATAGGTTGATGTACACATACATAGACCAGATCAAGAATATTCCATATCAAACTGGCACCAGTGGTCCACAGAGTTCATCCAGATTCAAACAATTTTGATGTAAACAATGTTCTGCTAAGAAGTGATTCTGAAATATGGTCTATGGATACATACGTCAAAATTGCCTGGGAACCTTACTGAACTTGCATATTCCTAGACCTCAAGACCACACCCATGATTTGGAATCCCTGGGAGAGGGGAGAGAGCCTGGGAATCTGCACATCTAACAGGTCCCCACAGGTATTCTTGCGCACGATCGTGTTTGAAAACCACTTCTTCAGTTCAACACAAAAGTATATTTCAATAATAATCATAGCCATGGGTAAACAATTAACTGAGCAAATACACATTGGTTAGATAATACAATTATAAGTAAACTCTACTTTTGATTCTAATTTTGTCTACTTTCCACTTTCAAGACATGGAAGGTCATGGTAAATGCAGTGTATCAACCTTGCTCCACTGTCTTAATTTTGTAATAGTTTTATTACAGTATAATTGATGTACAATAAACTGCACATATTTAAAGCAAAAAGTTTGACGTTTTAGTACATGTGTATATCTGAGAAACCGTCACCACAATCAAGAAAATGAAAATATCCATCACCCTCAAAAGTTTCCTGGTAACCCTTTGTAATCTCACCATTCTATCTGTCCCTGCCATGCCTCCAGACAACAGTGATCTGCTTTCTGTCACTATATATTAGTTGGAATTATCACAAGTTTTATAAAAACGGAATCACGCACTACATGCTCCTTTTCATCTAGCTACTTTCACTTAGCATAATTAAAATTCATTCATGCTGTTGTATGTATCAATAGTGCATCTCCTTTTATTGCTGAGAAGTTTTCCATTGTGAGGATATATCAAATTGTGTATATCCATTTAATTGTTGATGTATATATGTGTGTTGTTTCCAGTTTTTAGTCATGACAAATAAAGCTGCTACAATCATTCATGTACAAGTCACTGTATGCACATATACTTTCATGTCTCGAGCAAATATCTAGGACTAGAATGGCTGGATCATATATGTTTAAATATGTTAGAAACTGTCAATCTGCTTTCCAAACTGGTTGTACCATTCTACATTTCTGCAAGAAGTATATGTGAGTTCCAGTTGCTCCACATACTTGCTATCACTTGATATGGTCGGTCTTTTAAATTTTAGATATTCTAGTGGATATATGATAGTATCTGACTGTGCTTTTAATTTGCATTCCCCTAATGAATGATGATGTTGAGCATTTTTTTTTTCATGTGCATATCTTTTTCATATGCCTATCTTCTTTGGTGAATTGTGTAATTTAATTTTTTGCCCTTTAATAGGTCATTTCCTTATTGAGTTTTGAGAGTTCTTCATATAGCCTAGATTCGAGTCCTTTATCAGATATATAATTTGAAATACTTTCTCCAAGTCTATGTTTTGCCTTTTCATTCTCTTAACTGTGTCTTTGTATAAGTTCTCAATTTTGATGTATTTTAATCAATTTTCCATTTATGGATCATGCTTGTGGTATTGTGCATAAGAAATATTTGCTTAAGTCAAGGTAACAAAGGTATTCTCCCATGTTTCCTTCTAGAAGTTTTATGGGTTTAGGTTATGCATTTAGTTTTATGGCTTGGTTCTTAGTTTGAAGAGACTTTATATCAGGATACTGCTGAATGCTTTTTCTGTGTCTACTGAGATGATCATATGATCAAATGGGTTTTTTGATTTTAGTCTCTTAATATGGTAAATAACATTAATTTTCAAATGTTAAACCAACCTTGCATTCCTGGGATAAACCTCCCACATATCCTTTCCAGATATTGTGGATTTCATCAATTTTTTTAAAAAAATTTTGCAGCTATGTACATGGCAGATAATTGTAGTTTTCTTTTCTTGCACTGTCTTTGTATGGCTTTGGTATATGGTCACTGCCCTCATAGAATGAGTTAGGAAGTATCCCATCCTCTTCACATTTCCCGAAGGGTTTGTATAGAATCGGTATTATTTCTTCCTTAAATGTTTGGTAGAATTCACTTGTGAAGCCATCTGGTCCTGGAGCTTTCTTTGTGGTGAGGTTTAAAACTCCAAATTTAAATTTTTTAATACAAAGAGGGCTCTTCAGGTTATCTAGCATTTCTTGAGTGAGCTTTTGTAATTTGTGTCTTTGTACATTCTAATAATTAGTACATACTCATTAGACTAAATCAAGTTAAGATAAAATACATTCACTTTTGAGTTTAAGTTTTATTAAGTAATGAACTGTTTAAAGTAATGAACTGTTTTCACTATCTACTTTGAATTCCTGTTGCTCATTTGTTACTGATTTATTTAAGTGGACTTTTAATACTAAGAAAACAAGGACCTCCTATGTTAACAAGTACTAAGGGCTGCAGATATGGCAAACAATTTCAGGTAGTAAAAAAAAATACTTTCCAAAAATTAAATTGTGTCAGCAATATTCAGATAGGTAAAATACTCTTCTATAGAAGCAAGTTTATCTACTAATACACTAGAAGTCACTCTTATAGTAAAGAACATACATTTGTATTTTAAAAGATAAAATGATCTGAGCTCCATGTTGCATTCTATAGCATATGAATAGCAATGCAGCTGCTTACATGTTTTATTAGCTGATTCTCTGTTAAACACAATGATTTAGTCATAGGTTATTGTGAAACTGGCAACAACTGAACATAATCCAGGATAATTATGGCCTAGACACTACAAGCTGTGTGACCCTGAGAATGTCAGATGACAATGGCATAAACTGATTCCTGACTTCCAAAAAGACAATCTACCTACAGATGAAACCTGACTGCACATTTTTTGTTGGGGTCTGAGGTGACAGGGCTTACTTTACATTATAGTACCAATGTGCTAATTCAGCTTGCTAATTATAGCTGACATGATATGGCCTGGCCTAGTTGGTATTTATGGGTAAACACCCAAAAGATTGCCACCCAATTATGAATAGGGACTTAAAGCATTTTCAGTAGCAGCTGGCCCATCCCACTGATTCCCTCAGTCACTGCAGAGCCTCAGCAAGCCTGGCTCTATGGGAGACACAATATAAGGATAAATGAAGCAACCCGGACTTAGTGGAGGCCCAATGGGAGAATGCTTGTATCAGTCCATATGCTGGAAGAAATGGTAAACACACACATTAATAGCTCATATAGACTTTAGTGAATAAAGAAATGAGGTTTTTTTCAACATGCATATTGTTGAAAAATGTTACATATCAGCAACCACTCAAATGTTCAGCCACAGAAGCACACAACTCCTAAGAATTCACCCTGGCTCAAGTCTCGATCTCTGCCAGTCCATTTTCCACACTGCAGCCAGAGTGATTTTCCAAATGGAATCATATCAGTTCCCTTGTTAAAACTGCACTACATGTCCAGTTTTTATTAATTTAATAAATACATATTGAAAACCATTTATGTGCCAGGCACTATTCTATGATATTTAACATATCATGTGTGAAACATGGAAAAAAAAAAGGCACATCTGGAGGCCAGAGTTACCATTTTACATAGGTTGGTTAAGGTGTCACTTCTCT